AATGGATGATGGTATAAGGAAGGAAAAGGAGGGACAAAATGTTATTGCAAAAAAAATGTTTATTGGCTTTTTCTTCCTTTCTCTTTCATTTTTCTTTCCTTAATCATTCCCAATTTTTTTTTTTTNTTTTTTTTTAAATTCCTTAATTCTCAAGTTGAAAGCATTTTATCCATCTATCTTTCAATCCATCGATCCATCGATCCATCGATCCATCAATCTATCAATCTCCTTTATCATTCAGTTAAATTGTTATTAGTAAATTTTTAGGGACATTATTGAAACATAACAAAAGTATGAATGTAAACATTATAGAAGTAAAAAATATGGAAGAAATTTTTTTTTCACACTATCAACTACTTCTAATATTAATTAATTAATTAATTCCCCCATCTTTTATAACGTCATTTATTCGTCTCTTCATTTAATCGTAAATTTTCCATTTTGTAAAACGAAAATAAAATAATAATAGCAATAATAATATTCAAATAACATAAATAGATATTAATAATAATATCTAATAGTGAAATATTATTAGACTAAATTTAACTTTAATATCAAAAGAATACTTTATTCGTTCATTTTAAAACTTAATTGTTGGAATAGAAAAAAAAGAAAAGGGAAGAAAGTGGAAAAGAAGAAAATCTTCAAGGAATAATAGAAAATGAAGAAAAAAAAGGGTTATCAAAATCAACCAATAATTTAAAAATTATCCTAAAAAAAAAAACGAATACAGGGAGGGAGAGAGAGAGAGAGAAAGAGGGAGGAAAAGAAAGAAAGAAAAGCGAAGGAAAGGAAACGAAAGATAATGACAAAATTGCTTTTTGAATATTCTCTTCCCTTTTTCATTCGTATTCTTTCTTAATGGGTAGAAAATTAAGCTATTTATTTAGAATGAAAATAGAAAGAAAAAAAAGAATAGAAAAACGATGTTTTCATATAATTGAACTAAATATAAAATAAAAAGGGAATAGAAAAACAATATATACGCATATGGAATGAGAAAAGGAATAGATATGCACATATATAGAATAGAAAAAAAAGAATAGAATAGGAAGAAAAAAAAAGGAATAGAAAAACGATGTTTTCATATAATTGAACTAAATATAGAATAAAAAGAAGGGAATAGAAAAATAATATATACGCGTATGGAATAGGAAAAAGAGATGTATACATA